TGGTGTCATTATATTTATTTTCCTGGCTGTATCTTATTATGTTATCTTCTACTTCTAAAAACAGCTCATTTTGTCTTCATATCAATTTTTTTTCCCACACACAGATGTGTGCACACACACACACACACACACACCACACACACACACACACACACACACACACACACACACACCACATACACACACACCACACACACACACACACACCACACACACACACACACACACACACACACACACACACACTTACACACTTACACACTTACACACTCACACACTCACACAGATGCACACACACACAGATGCACACACACATACACACACACACACACACACACACACACACACACACACACACACACACACACACGACAACAAACAACAACACAACAAAACATACGACCAAACACACACACCACTCACAACCAACATGACGGCACACCACAACTCTCACACACACACACCACCCGGGTCTCACAGCCTCTTACACACACACAACGACACACCATAACAAAAGACTCTCACCAACAATAACCCCACACAAACACACACCCACACGTAAGCCACAGACACACAAACAAAGAAAAGAACACACCCAACAATGACACCAACACCCAACACCACACACACACAATGCACCACCACCACCACCACCACACATCCCGCTCCCCCCACACAGGTACACATCCCTCCCCCCCCCCCCCCACCCCACACATCCCCCCCCCGCACACACCATACCTCCCCCCACCACCAACAGCCACACCTCCCCCCCACACAACACACACATTCCCTCCCCCCACCACCACCACCGAACCCACCACCCCACAAATCCAACACCCCACACGAACACTCCCCCACCACCACTCAGCAACATCCCAGACACACATCCCCCCCCCTCACACACGGGGACAACTCCGTCCCCCACCACCACCACCACCACCCCCACAACAACACAGCGTTTCCCCCCCACACACACATCCCCACAATGACACACTCTTCACTTCCCCCCCCACATCCACACATCGCCCATCCCGCCGACAGACTCCCCCTTTCCCCCCCCACCCACACACAATCCCCTCCCCCCCCCACACATCCCCCCTCCCCCCACCACACACAACCCCCTTCCCCCCACACCACACACTACACACAAACATTCCCCATCAGATCCCCCCCCCCACCACACACATTCCCCCCCCAGCACCACACCTTCCCCATATACATCCCACCCACACACACCATCGCCCCCGCCGCCATATCGCCCCCCCACCCACACATCCCCCCCATTCATCCCCTCCCCCCATCCCCCCTCCACACACACATCCCCACCACACACAACATCCCCCCCACACCACCTCCCCCCCACCACCGCCACCACACAGCCCCCCCCATACATCCCCCCCACCACCCCACCCGCCACACCACCATCCCCCCCCCACACATCCCCCCCACACGATACACTCCCCCCCCCACACAAGATCCCCCCCCACCACCTCCCCACCCCCACCGCCACCACACATCCCCCCCCCACACTCATCCCCCCCACACCACATTCCACCCCACCACATCAAATCCCTCCCCCCACACACATCCCTCCCCCCCACACACCATTGTCCCCCCCCTCAACACACACTCCCCACACACACATCCCCCCCACACACACATACCACCCCCCACACACATACACCCCCCCCAACACACATACCCCCCCACAACACATCCCCTCCCCCACAACACATCCATTCCCCCCCCCCCCCCACACACAATCCCCGATCCCCCCCCGCCCCCCACCACCCACCACCACACACACATCCCCCCCACTACATCCCCCCACACACATACATTCCCTTCCCCATCCCCCCCCCCACACCATCCCCCACATACACACACATCCCCTACCCCCCACACACACATCCCCCTCCCCACCCTCCCCCCCCACACCACACCATCCCCCCCACACACACACTTTCCCCCCCCACACACCACAGGACACCATCCCCCCCACACCCCCAACACACAAACCACATCCCCCCCCCCACACACATCTATTCCCATCCCCCCCCCCCACATCCCCTCTCCCCCCCTCGCCCCCCCCCAATTCCCCCCCACGCACAACCCACGATTCCCGCACTCGTCCCATCCCGTTCCCCCCCCTCCCTCCCCCCCCCCCCCCCCACACACACACATCAGTGCAATATCCCACCATCCCCCCCACACACACAGTGACCTCCATAATTCCCCAATTATCCTCACCCACCACAACACACACACATCCCCTCCCCCCCACCACACCACCACCACACATCCCCCCCCACACACACACATCCCCCCACACACACACAAAACAACATCCGCCCCCCACACACTCCCCCCCCCACACACACACAACTCACCCCCCACACACACACATACACATCCCCCCCCCCCCACCACACAACGTTCAGACGACGACACCAACCCACGTTTCACTACATCACACACACACATACACACCACACAACACACACACCACACACGTAAGTGCACCACAGCACACACACACGTGCACAAACACACACACACACAGCCACGGACATTTGCACACAACACACACTACACTTTGCAACAACTCAACACACAGGAAACACTTGCACTACGTCACACGAGATCTTGCAACTATAATCTACTCACACAATAAGAACACACTTTCACCACACGTACACACGCACACACATGCACACACACGCACACACATGCACACGTGCACACACACGTGCACACACACGTGCACACATGCACACGCACACATGCACACGCACACACACACATGCACACACACACTCTCTCTCTCTCTCTCTCTCTCCTTCTCCCTCCCTCTCTCTCTCTCTCTCTCTCTCTCTCTCTCTCTCTCTCTCTCTCCTCTCTCTCTCTCTCCTCTCTCTCTCTCCTCTCTCTCTCCTCTCTCTCTCTCCTCTCTTCTCTCTCTTTCTGTTTTCTCTCTTTTTCCTCTTTTCTCACTCTTTTCTCCCTCATATATAATGTATGATATATAATTAATTCTCTTTCTCTTTCTCTTTCTCTCTCTTTCTCTTTCTCTCTCTTTCTCTCTCTTTCTCTCTCTCTCTCTCTCTCTCTCTCTCTCTCTCTCTCTCTCTCTCTCTCTCTCTCTCTCTCTCTCTCTCTCCCCCCCACCCCCCCCCCCCCCCCCCCTCTCTCCCTCCTCTCTCTCCTCTGTCTCCTCTCTCTGTTTTCTCGCTTTTTCCTCTTTTCTCACTCATATGTAATGTATGATATATAATTAATTTTTCTTTTCACACACACACAACACATCCCCCCGCACACCCCACACCCCCACAAACACACACATCCCCCCACACACACACGTCCCCACATACACATATCCCCCCCACACACACATCCCCCCCACACACACATCCCCCCCCACACACACATCCCCCCCCACACACACATCCCCCCGCACCCCCCCCACACACACACACACATCCCCCCCACACACACATCCCCCCCACACACACATCCCCCCCACACACACATCCCCCCCACACACACATCCCCCCCCCACACACATCCCCCCCCCACACACACACAACACACATCCCCCCACACACACACACAGATGCACATAATCTTGAGACAAAAGCCCAAGTCTTTATAAATGGATTTTTGATATTTCAGTACTTTTATCATTCAGATTCTCTTTTGCTTATTCTTTATATACAATTTCCTTTAACACTCTTTCTCTACTTCTGCCTTTCTTTCCTTCTCTCTTTCTTTCTCTCCTTTTCTCTCACTATTTCTTTCTTTCTCTCTCTCTCTTCCTTCATTTTCACTCTCTTTCCTTCCTTCATTTTCACTCTTTCCTTCTTTCCTTTTCACTCTCTTTCCTTCTCCCCCTCTCTCTTTCCTTCCTCTTCCCTCCCTCCCTCCCTCTCTGTCTACCTATCTCTGTCTCACTCCCTCTCCCCCTCTCCTTCCCTTGCCTTCCCTAAACTTCCCTTCTCTCACCATTCCTCCCCTCCTCTCCTCTCCTCTCCTCTCCGCTCCTCTCCTCTCCTCCAGTTCCCTCCTCCCATCTTTTCTTCTCTCCTCTTTTTTCCTTCTTTCCTTCAGTCCTCTCTTTCTTTTCCATCTTCCCTATTGCCTATGTATAAGTGGAAGGAGCTGGGATGCATGTATTAGGCAAGTGAGCAAAATTAGGACTGACATATAAACTCCCATGACAGCTGGCTAGCTTGGGGAGGTGCGGTTACATCAACGCCATCCAGGCCATTTACCTAATCCAAACAATATCCTTAACAATACCATATATGTTATGCACATATTTTGTTAGAACATGTAATCTCACATGTCTCCTTTTTTCCTTTTTCTTTCTCTCTCTCTATAATTTTTTTTCTTCTATTTTCTCTCTTCTTTTTTTTTAGGGTGGAAGAGATTATCATTCCAAAATGATGATAACTTAAATGGATAATTGCATAAGGTAATTGGATGCAGGCATTTGATAGACCCAGAGGTCACTTGCCTCTGAATAATTGAATAAGTGTCTTTCGTGCTAGTTGTGTGTTTATATTGGGTTGGGAAGCTGTTTGAGAGAAGTTTTCCCTCTAGCAAGTGTGTTAAACAGTCTAGGTAATAGAAAAGGTATTATTGTTTTCCCTTTTCCATGTATCTTACTTCAGATGAATAATAAGTTTGTTTGTGTACTCTCATCAGAGTTAATTGAATTAGACAAAGTTTGATGCTGATTATTATAGGTAATGACTCATGACTTCTGATGGCATTGGTATTATTCACTGGTAGACAATCATTCCCTTCAATGAAAAATGGTTAATTACACAAAGATTAATATATTGACAGTATCTGAATGGAGGCCCAGCCATTTGTTATTCCCTTTTGTCTGAAAAAATCAATGGTCTTTCCACAGGATATGTGGACGGGAACCACATAAAGTTTGTCATTTTCACTTGTTGTTATTTGCGATTTCTAAGTGTGATCTTCCTTTCCAGCTCTTCTCTGTTATCATTTTTGGGTGCATCTCATCACAAGGATGGACAAAAGACAGAACGGGGAAGGAAACCTGCCTGTATGATGGGGACAGCAACGCGTGCAACTATGGGGTTGGTATATCCGTCATTGCCTTCATGGCGTCAATCGGCTTCATTGTTGGGGAATACTTCTTTGAGCAGATGTCCTCAATCAAGACCAGGAAACACTACGTTATGGCTGATATGGGATTTTCTGGTGAGTGTGTGGACCAAAATGTTGTGTTAGGAGGGGGCTGATTAGTCATGAGTGGGAGATCTTTGATGAATTGTCCCTTAATGAGTTCAGTTTATATCATAGGAGTTGGGTTTGATAGGTTATCTTTATACGTAGCATCAGCTGATTTTCACTTATCAGCACTACTCATATATTATACTTTAATATGCAAAGTTTATATTACTCCTTTTAAACTGTTGGAGTTAGACTAATAATTTTTGTTGTTGGAAAGGTGATACATTTTCACGTATCAGTTTTTATTTCATATAGCTTTAATGATAAAAAGAAATAAAAAATACTTTTTTTGAACAATTGCCACTGAACCAAAAGCTTTCTGCATTAGTATAATAGATGATATAAAGATTATGGTAGAGTTAGGAGAGTGGTTTTCGAGCTTATTGAGCCCATTGCCCATATCTAATAATTTTGACTCTCTCTCTCTCTCTCTCTCTCTCTCTCTCTCTCTCTCTCTCTCTCTCTCTCTCTCTCTCTCTCTCTCTCTCTCTCTCTCTCTCTCTTTCTCTCTTTCTCTCTTTCTCTCTTTCTCTCTTTCTCTCTTTCTCTCTTTCTCTTTCTCTCTCTCTTTCTCTTTCTCTTTCTTTCTCTCTCTCTCTCTCTCTCTCTCTCTCTCTCTCTCTCTCTCTCTCTCTCTCTCTCTCTCTCTCTCTCTCTCTCTCTCTCTCTCTCTCTGTCTCTCTTTCTATTTCTCTTTCTCTCTTTCTTTCTTTCTCTCTCTCTCTCTCTCTCTCTCTCTCTCTCTCTCTCTCTCTCTCTCTCTCTCTCTCTCTCTCTCTCTCTCTCTCTCTCTCTCTCTCTCTCACCCTCCATTCTCTCTCTCTCTCTTTCTCTCTCTCCCTCTCTCTCCCTCTCCCTCTCTCTCCTCTCTCTCTCCTCTCTCTCCTCTCTCTGTCTCTGTCTCCCTCCCTCTCCTCTCTCTCCTCTCTCTGTCTCTGTCTCCCTCCCTCTCCTTCTCCTTCTCCCTCTCTCTCCCTCTCCTTCTCCCTCCCTCTCTCTCTCTCTCTCTCTCTCTCTCTCTCTCTCTCTCTCCTCTCTCTCTCTCTCTCTCCTCTCTCTCTCCTCTCTCTCTCTCCTCTCTCTCTCTCCTCTCTTCTCTCTCTTTCTGTTTTCTCTCTTTTTCCTCTTTTCTCACTCTTTTCTCCCTCATATATAATGTATGATATATAATTAATTTTTCTTTTCGTTTCAGGTTTCTGGTCATTTTTGTACTTCATTGGTTTCTGCTACCTGACCAACAAGTGGAGCAGTGCACCAACCCCTCCCTATGGTGTCAACAACATGCAAGCTGCCATTGCCTTCAGCTTCTTTGCCATCTTTCCTTGGGTGAGTTTGGGATGAGGGAGAGAGAAAGAAAAATTTAAAAAGCAAGTGGAAGTCTGAAATTCTAAGAAATCTGATAGTCTTATAATGGCTTTATTTTTCTACAGTATAAATCTTTTGCTTTTATAGTGATATATATATGTATATCTACTAGAGCAGTGGTTCTTAACCTTTTTACTATCATGCTGCCTCTAGAAATTTGTCCTTCATTCCATGCCCCCCTTGCATCTATGAGTAAAATTCCCTACCGTATTTTAAAGAAAATTATTATTATATACAAGTTCATGGTCTTTTTATTGAGTATGAATTAGTCACATCATTATTAATCTTCTCATTATTTGACCATGCTCTCATTAAGAAGAGAAGAAATATAATTAGAGAAATTCCTGTTTATTCCTCCCCCTTGGAAATTACTGACACTGCCCTGGTTAAGAACCACTGTACTAGAGCATTGATAAACAATAATTTTACTCCATCTAGTTCCCTTCTCAAAAAAAAAAAAAAAAAAAAAAAAACAACCTCTGCCTACCAACCACAGGCTGCAGCAGCTTACCTAGCCTTCTTGAGGTATAAGCAAGGGGCTGACCAGGCCTTTGCCCCAAGTTATGAAGCTGATCCAACCAACATGGGAGGCTACAACAGCTACCCTGATGCCACAGATCCTGAGGGTGGCTACTCGCAACCACCGTTCACTGGTGGTCAGCCAGGCCAACCACCCCAGTCAGGTACAATGCCAGAAGCTGACCCCATGAGCTATCAACAACAGCCGTGATTGAATGGGTTGAATTAGATTTTTAAGATGGTTTTGAGAGGCGTGGGAAGTTCATGTTGATGATAATATTGTTTTTTCCCCCCCACTTGTATTTACTTATATAAATATATATTACCTTTTATTTACATATTTAAGAGCCATCAGTTATCAGACTTGGTTATTAACCACTGCAAGAGGTGCTCTGGGTGAGATGAAATATGGGAAACACTTTGCAGGGATCCTTAAAGTATTGTTTGAAGAGAGAGAAAGTAACCTAGAAAGCTGAAACCATTTTGCACATTGTTTAATGCATGGTAAAAATATGCTACCAAGTCATCCCAGTAGAAAATTAACATTAGTGTAGAATCAGGTTTTTCTTCATATAGATCATTACTCATGTGAGTAGTAATATCATAATCTTTGATTTTATTTTCCTTTTCGTAACTTCATCTATTGACATCCTTTGCAAATAGAGAAGAGTGTGAAGTTACTCAAAATTTGGTTTGAATTTATTTTAGATTTTAATCCTGTTCAAATGAACCTGATACAGAAAAGTAGTTATTAACGAAATGGTGGTTTTGATCAATATATTTTATTAAATCCTTGTTTAAAAATAGTAGATGTAATCAGATTCCTTCAAGATGAACTCTTGCTTTACAAAATATAGGTATTGCTTGGAAAAAGCTTTATCACTGTGTCTGTCAATGTTATATGTATTTAAATTTTGAAACAAATCTTGCTATACTCTCTCATTTTAGTAAGGTAAAGATGCACTTGACAGGTTGGTGATCACTGCCAGAATACACTATGAATAACATTATTATATTTCAAATAAATATAATTCCAGACTTGTCAGTTATCAAATCATCATCAAACCTGTCAACAATCATCAGCCCATCAAACACATCTTCACCTTGATTTAAAAGAAAAAATGGAGTGTAGATATTATTTTTGTTGGATATTTTTTATAGCAACCATTCTATCCTTCACCAATTTCTCCTTTTGAAATAGCAAGTATAGATTAGGTAATTAGTCCTTTCATAGTCATTCATTAATGTTGTTGATTATTATAATAGGATATTCATCATCACTACTATCGTTAAGCAATTTCACAGTTGTCTTCATTACTTGAGACCAAAGAGGACTTGTACAAATAGAAACTCATTTTCTAATGTAAGATAAAGCAGATAACCACCAGGCTAAGTAGGCTTGAATATGTATTGCCAGTATTGCTAGCATAGTTGTGCATTCAGCTTAATATCTCCTCCTCGTACACAGGTATGCAGCAGGCACCTCCATACTAGGCCACCAAGGTGTGTGCGCACTTTCTTTGTGGCGCAGCTAGTCAGTCTACACACTAGTCGGCACCGCTCTGCTGGATAGCACCGTCACTCTCCCCCTCCCCCTCCCCTCATGCCGCAAGCAACCCAAGTATTTCAGGTCTCCTGGTAGCAGCATACCTTAGGGGGGCTGGGTCATCCAGGGAACATCGAAAGGCAGAAAAGAAATGTCTACACAGTGCTGACGTCAATGAAGAGTCCTAGAACAAGTAAAATATAATTTTTAAGGAGATTTTTTGAAGGCCTGGGGGAGGAGCAAGCGTAAAAGATAAATAATAATGATAATGATAGTAATGAAACTTAAACAAATGACAATAGAGGACAGTTCACCTACCTTCCAAGACACAACTTTCACAAGAAGGGCCCCTGGTACTGGTATAGAAGATTAAGCAAGAAAAAGAATATATACATATTTATTATTTATTATTTTTTAATAAGGTTAATCACATTTTCAGTTACAAAAATTGTCAGAGGATGCTTTAGCTACCTCATGGTTTTATCAATTTTTCAGCATTGATATCCTTAATGTTCAAGTATTTCATTACAGGTAGACTAGGAATCCTGTTTATTTCTTGTAAATATTGATGACACATTTTACCCTTAAAGCAGTTGCAAAGTGTTTTCTATGTCCTGATAAATTGAGAGTACCATGCGTCTGTCTTAGAATGTAGATGATGTTAGGCAACCTATAGGTCCCTCAGTTCATTCTATGGTACTTGGGATATAGTCAACAAACATCAATATTCCCTATCTGTAACACATTCCTTTTTACTTCAATGAATATATTTTTAAAATCTAAGTTCACATTCAGATAAAGATAACAGACAGATTGCTTCTTAAATCTGCTTCAGAGCCATGATAACAAATGTGTTCCCCCCATGGGGGAATGCGCTCTTTCTCCCCAAGGGTTGCCTGAGAATGTTGTGCTCAGATTTCACATTGCCGTTGTTTCATCAAATGATCCTTGTTAAAAAAACTTCAACTCCCAGACTGTTTACACCCTTCCCTTCCCCTCTTGAACATGTGCCAATAACTTGCAATAACGATATTCCTGTCAGTAAGATTAAAAGGAAGAAACACGACATGAAATTTAAAAGCTGTATTGCAGTGGAGTCCAGAATATATGTAATGTACAGATGTCGATACTGGAAGTGGGTTCATCATGTAAAGGCAAGATACGCCATCACAAAGATTAGTCGGGGTTGCCAGAGTGAAGCTAGGTTCATGATTTCTCATTTATCCCTTTCTCAATCGCAATTGTCCTGGTCTCGAAGCATTTTGCACGGGCACCAGATTTAAGGAGGGTTTGATTAAGCTT